TTTTTTTTTTTTTTTTTTTTTTTTTTTTTTTTTTTTGTGCTTAACTTAATTCTTATCAATTATTACCCAACAATGTTTGAAATAGCATATGCTGATTGCAAAGTTTTTCTAATTTTCTTACTATTATAACAATAAATTAATAAAAATCTACTTACACAACTGGATGAAATGGCTTTTTGCTACGATCACTCTGGCTCTGTTCAACCCTAATAGTTTGAGTAGGTGATTCAACTTTAACTCCATAGAAATGTAGCTGAAAACTGCTGATTTTTTTGAGTCCCTCTGAAGTGCGAACAAAGACAGCCTCGCCTTGTAATTGAGCATGACAGGTAATTTGAAAATGATTCTTCTTCTGACAAACAAAAGCATCGTCAGAGTTGCTAAAGTTGAATCCTTTATCAGCGTCGACGCGATAATGCGGCGTTGGCAGCTCTTTGAGATTATGATCGCAGAGAGCGTGCCACGTGGTCTGCTGAAACGGGTGGAATCTGATGCATTGATAACTGGCGTCAATGTAAGAGTTGTCCCCGTTAACTTCGTCATTATCGAGAACAGCGCTACTGCTGCTGCAACTGTGTTCAACGTTGCCCAATTCAGGTTCTTGCTTCACGTGAATGAGTCCATCTTGACTGTGCTTCCTTTTCTTTGGAGCAGACTGCAGTGATGAGTAGAGAGTGGTGATTCCACTGGGACTGTGATCATGTTGCGGCGGCTGTGGTTGTTGTGGTTGCTGTTGGAGAGACACGTGGGATGCTACCAGTGTCTGCTGAGCTGTCAAAGCAGGCGTCGTGGGTGTTAAGAGAGGGGTCAAGACTGGATGGGCCAGCAGTAATGGATCAGCAGATGCTGCTAATGCTCTTGGAGATGTTGGTAATAAAGTTGAGGTATAAGCCGGAGCGCTTCCTTGGTGGTGGAGTAAAATTTCCTGCAGCGCAGCCTTTTGATCTGGAAATTTTCATTCATCAGTTAATTTTTGAATAATTTTAATAAATATATATGGGTAGCCATTTAAAATTATTCATTACTTTTTATTTTTGATAAAATATGGTACGAGAAGAAATAAATTTTATCAATTTTTTATCAGAATAATTCTTAAGGCAGAATTTTGGGTGCTTATAAGAAAAAGGCGGCACCGTAACAAAAAAACCGCAGATAAAATATCCAGATCATAAAAGTTTATTATTAATCTCTTAAAATAATTTTTAAATTTGTAATTTAAAAAATAATGTATGCAATGGATAATTACAATCAATCATATAATAGTAGAATTGCAGACTAAATGACAAAAAATATTAGAGATTTTGATTCTAAAATTTATGAAAAAAATTTATTTACGATAAGATATCAATTTGACATATAATTCGAAAATAAATCAACAAATAAGCTTGTTATTTTGATCTGCCTTTTTTTCATGGATTTTTTGTGTGTTAATTTGAAAATAGGCCAACATATGAGCTTTTTACCGTATTGTGCCCTTTTTTTATAAATTTTGTGTGTGTTTATGCAAAAATATTTTTATTATAATATTTTATCGTTCGGTTATTTTATTACTGGGTTGTTTTGTTACATGGTTGTCGCGGTTATCTAGTTACAGTACCGAAAAAGGCTACTTTTAAAATTTTTTTATGAAATTATGAATGAAAATTGAACTCAAAAATTTTACAGAGACAAAATTTTTAATACTTAAATATGTATGGTATGAGTATTAATTCCACCATGAATATTATCAGTTAACTAAAAAAAAAAACAGTGCTACTTCTAGGTCAAAGTGGTAAGCCATCAAACTTGACTTTTTTCAACTTAGATAATTTTTTTGTCAGATCTCTCGATATTACTAAACAAATTTTAAGTAAAATCAAGAAAATGATATAGAAAAAAATTTTTTGAACATTGTATAAAATTGAAAACTTCACCATTTTTTGAATTTGTCAAATTTATTTTTATATTCATTAAAATTTTATTTGTTTTTGTGTAATTATTTATTAATTAATTATTAATTTATTTTTGTATTTCGGAAATACTATATTTACCCAAGAAATCATGTGTAATGTACATGTGGTTTTTTCATACAATTTCAATTCAAGTTATTTTATTTGTTTTACAGAATTGGGAGCACCCACTTATAGGTTTCCCGAAGTAATTCATCGACAGAGTTTTTAACTATCAAACTTCTCACAATAAATTTTTATATCGAGGAAATTCAACGTGCGTAATCGATCATAAAAAATTTTATGGCAACGACGAGTATAAAGAGTGCTCCAATACCCGATTTTGTCAGTAAGCAAAACGTGTCTGAACGATTTAGTTGAAAAATTAATTGAAAGAAAAATGTTGTTTGTGCCTATTATTTTCTGCTTGGTTGCTGGATCTACTGCTCTTGTCGTAGAGCCCGGACCTTGTCCCCATGTGACTGTTAACAAATTGAATTTGACTGAAGTAAGTACTGATTTTTTAAATTAAATACTATCTCAATCGTGACTATTATTTTTGTCATACAGAAAACATAACAATAATTTTTCAGATTAGCGGAGTATGGTACAAGTACGCGAGTAACGAAAATGAACTGGATGAAGAGCAGGAAAATATAAAGCTTGATGATTCCACCCGAAAATGGTGTATCAATAACTACCCTTACCAGTTTTTCAAAACTGTAATTAACTTAAATGTTTCTAAGTCTTTTAAGATACAATTATTTGTCAACGCTACTTATATTATAATTTTAATTTTTTTCATATTTTGTAAAATAGTATTGGCGATTCCATAAAAACAGTATGCAAAGTGACTCTAAATGAGAACAATGAAGTGCTTAAAGCCATTTTCTCTGTACCAATTTTAGGAAAATTGGAAAGAACATTTTCGTTTATTGCACTTGATAATAATGCTTATGCCGTATCCGTGGCTTGTGAGAATTTGGGGCCTAACCAGTAAGTTATCAAATTTTTATTAAATTTTAAATTAATATTTACTATTGAATTAATATTCTAGCATAAAGGGCGTTGCTTTGTATACCAGAACACGAAACCCGTCAAAAGATGTTTTGTTAGCAGCCCAAAAAGAAACTGAAAAGAATGGTGTTGCATGGTCAAATTTAATAAAATTAAATTAAAGAAATTTTCATTAAGCTTTAATGAAAAATTTTTCATTAATTTTTTTTCAATGCACAGAAATGTTAACAGTAAATGCGAATATATGCTTTTATTTTTAACTTCCCGCTAAAAATCTCATATTTTCAAAAATCGGGAAGTTATTGTTTTCACCCCGTTTTACAAAAATCCAGTTTTCATCAGATCTCGACGTTTGAAGGTCACAGGAAGCTTCCCTGACTATTTTTACGATGATGTCCGTACGTCTGTGTGTGTGTGTGTGTGTGTGTGTGTGTGTGTGTGTGTGTACGTACTTCTTGTAACTTTTGAACGACGATGTGTGTGTGTGTGTGTGTGTGTGTGTGTGTGTGTGTGTGTGTAAACCTCTTGTAACTTTTGAACGACGACCGATTTCATCGCGGTTGGTGTCATTCGAAAGGGCTTCACTAAACTTAGATTTCCTAAAAATTTCAACCGATTCGGACCGGTAGATTTCGAGAAAATCCAAAAAAAGTGAAAAAAAAGTGTAAAAAAAAAGTGAAAAAAAAGTTGTTTTTTTTTATTTTTTTTAAATATCTCCGAATTGGCTGAACTGATCGGTCTCAAAAACTAATCAGCTCTTAACCTTGAAAACCCCCATGGATCGCCACCAAAAACGTCAGAATCGGTTGATGCGTTCGTGAGATATCGTTGTCGAAAAAAATCGAAAAAAGTGTTTTTTTGTAATAACTTCGAAATTCATGGCTCGATCGATTTAAACTTGAAAATAAAAAAAATTGTGTCTTTAAACTGCTATTAGAGTTTTGAGCTCGAAGAGCTCAAAAACGTAATGTGTAGTTTGAAGCGTTTAAGTACAAAATGAGCGGGAAGTTGCAGGGATGGCCTTTAGGGTGAACCGTTTTTCTAATTTTTTTTTTATTAATATGTGCTTTTTCAATTTTTGTTTATCAATATTTATATTTGTGAATTTGATACTTAATATGTCAAAAATAATTTCAAACTGAACTGTATCAAAACCTTGGATAATTCCACGAAGTTGCTTGTATTAATTCATTTGAATATTTTGTCAGAAAATAAATAATTATCTTTAAAAATTAAACTATTTTTATTTAATTATTAATGTAATTAAAACTATAAATAGTAGCTTTAATTTGTTCATTAAATTTTTATTGGTTATTCTAATTACAATACTTGTCTTTCCTTTACTCTGATAAAGACGGGAAATTATGAAACATTGTATAAAAATATACAATAGAAATTGCATTGTAGTGAAAATATTACTACTATCCACAGACCTGTGAGCCATTCAACTTTTTATCGTCAAAGGATGAATGTCCCACTAAGTGCTTAAAGATAGGCCTTAGTAAATTTTATTTTTCTGATTACCTTTTAAATAAATTTTCAAATTGATTCCAAAAAATAACATACGACTAACTATTGCGAAAATTTTAAAATACTTTAATTAAAAATTTTTCCAAAAAGTAATTAAAAAATTTTAATCTCTGAAAATAAATCTACTCTTTCCTAGCTTTAAATTTATTTTTAATAATTCATTAAATTTAATTTTACTCAAAATTTTCAGCGCAAAAAATAAAGATTAAAATAATCAATTAATTTTCGATTTAATAAAATTGCTTAACACTTTTATAAGTGGCTACCCTATGAATAAAAAATGAAAATAAATATTTACGTGGTGAGTGAACATGTTGCGAGGTTTCATGATGCCCTGGTGGAGAATACGGAGGTTCACTTCCACTGTCTGGTGGACTCTCTGGTAACGCGTGTCTGTAAAGAACAAGGGCATTAAAATTGAATGATAAATCATGATAAGGGTTAAACTTTTCAGAAGCTTAACTCTAGTTAGTTCGAGAAATAAGCAGACTAGCAATTGCATGCTCGTAAAATAATGGATATTATTATTAGTTACAAGAGTTGTTAAATTTAATAATGATAATGTTATGATAATAACAATAGAAGGTAGCTGATATGATAGGAGTACTTACGGATGAACGTAGGTCTGAGGGTCCTTGTAAGTTGTAACTGGTGGGACAGGCGTTGCTCCAGCCGGACAGGCAGATTGTACCGGATGATTCTGGGATATTGGTGATGGCAATCTGGTTGGAGGTTGCTGGCTCGTCGTCTCCACTCGCCCGTTATGACTCGTCGTTGTTCCATTTGTCTCATTGTGAGCGAGGGTATCGGCAAAATATCTGAAAATATAATTATTATTTTATTTATTTGTAATTTTTTCCTTAATTTTTTTTATTAATAACTCAATTAATAATAATAATAATAATAATAATAATATGGTTAAAAAACCACTTATGAGAAGATAAGTAATTTTATTTTAGAAATTGATTAATCTGTTGGGTTTAATTAAAATTAATCAATCGCTTTTTAAATAGTTGTAAATGAAATTGTACAATATTTATTTTTTGTATTAGAATTTATTGATTAGTTAGTTATATAATTATTTAGTTGTAAGATATGAATAAATTTTGAAGAAAATAACTGTATATAATAGGAAACATATATGCACAGAAATAACGACACCAGCCTCGAAATGACCTTTGATCACTTAACTTGCTGTTTTAAAACGTACATGTTTATTTTTCCTCTCATTCGTACAGCAATAAAAGTTCCTGATAGGTGAATAATAATATAAGTTAACAGGCATATACCAGGGTTTATAAAACAGAGATATCGTTATCGCTAACTGTGGTATGCATGACGTTTAATAATGACGTTATTACTGTTGTATTTTATTGTTCAATTAAGTACATTTAATGGGATTATTATTAATATGAATACTAGATTTATTATTAATTAATTTTTTCAAGTTCATTCAAAAAATTATCCATATAATATACACTGAAAAATAACTATTTTTATTTTAGAAATATGTTTATCTAAAATTTTACTCTCGGCTTAAAATATTCAATTTTTTTGGATTAAAAAAAATATACATTTTTTAAAAGAAAACAAAATTATTTTTAATTTAATAAAGTTGTTCTTATTTCAAAATCGAGAGAATAAATTATTGAATTTCTTGAAAATTTATCTTTGTATCCACTCAAAATTTTCAAGACGTTATCCTTTAAAAATATTAAAAAAAAAATTTTTTTCGGAAACACTGACTCTTTTTCTAAGCCATTAAAATATGAAATTATAGACATTTATAAAAAATAATTCGCTAAAATGTATAAATATAATAATAAATAATAATGAATGTTATTTCTGAAATAATGAAAAATGAGGAAAGGAAAAAAATGAGAGCAAAAGAGCAATTTTTACGATGATAAATTTTTATTTTGTTATGGCTAATTAAATATCACGGTTGGATAGAGTTTCGGTCGGTGTGCGTTCAGCCCATTAAGTTGTATTGAGAAGTTAAAAATTAAAAAGAGGGAATAAATTGACGAGTATTAGAGGAAGTGATACTTCTTAATGGGAAAATAGTTCCGGTGGCACGAGCCCTCGTTTCTAAACCTGGTATAATATAAATATACATTCATACACATATACATCGACATTGGTCTATGCATATGGATGTAAAAGGACATAAAATAGATGATAAATGTTAAACACACGTACGACACTTTGAAGTAGAGACAAAATTACCATCTAGTTTCATTAAATGCAATGCAGTGAGTATTAGCAGTAACAGTAGCAATAGCAGTGATTCTATCAATTTTGTCCAGTCTGGTTCTGTCGTCATTATGTCATTACTGTACTGCATTACAGCGTTTCTCTTTCTCTTACTCTCAATTGTGACTATGTATTTATTTTTTCTTCCTTCATTTTCTCTTTCTCTCTTTCATCGTTATTCTTTCTCTAATAATCTCTTGTTCTGCTTTTTGTCCATTAAATAACAGCCGGCGTTGCGTTCAGTTGCCTTCGTCATCTGGATTAAACTTTATGTCCTACTGACACTCGAATTTAGGAATTTGCTCTGATCAAAACAGGAAGTAGGTCTTCATCTTTATAGTAAATCATTTAACCGGGGCTATTTTTTATTGCCTTGCTTCTAGATGTTACAGTTTTTAGTATACAGAAAAAAAAATGTTCTTAACTTAAATCAATTATAAAATTTTGAAGAACTTAATCTTCTTGATTTGAGAAGAAAAATTCTTGAACTAATAAATTTTTCTTGATTTAAGGAAATTTTACTTGATTCAAAAAAATTATTTTCTTGGGTCAAGAATTTTTCTCTTAAATCAAGTTAATTTTTTTTTCAGTGTAGATTTCATAGAAATCTAACTATTGCATTGGTCCTTATGACGGAACTTTCGAAAAATTTTGCTATATATTGACTCAGCTCGTCTGTATTTAACAAAAATTGGAGTTTTATTAGTAAGGATCCCTAATTTTTTTGAAAATATAATAGAACTATGTCACCCAAAGATAGTGTAGCTTCCCCACAGTAAAAGAATTTTTCAAATCAGTTCAGTAGTTTCGGAGACTATTCAATGCAAACAAACAAACAAACAATCAAATTTTTCCTCTTTATAATATTAGTATAGAAGTATAGATGACGCGGCTTGTCACGACGATAGCGTCAACAATTCTTAAGGGATCCTAATGAAACTCAACATACTTATTCCACATACTATTACGAAGATCAAGTTTAAATATGAGCTTAATCGGTTGATTAGTTTAGAAATTACAGCATGCAAAAATTTTGAAAATTTGAAAATTTCACACTTAGATTTAGATTAAGGTTTATTAATGCCAAGGCACAGGCCAAATGGCAACTTTACAAATATCACATGATTATACAAAATACAAAACAATCTGCACAAGGCAGCATCTGTAAGTACAAAATAAAAAGAGAAACAGTATGAAAAATTATTTTACATTCGGATTTTATAGATTTGATTTTAATTTTAAATTTTCAGAGTTTTTAATTTTTGGTTTTCGATTTAACAATTTGCTTCACTTCACTAAAATGATTTCTCAATTTAAAAATCAGTTTAAAAATCTAACTCTAAAAAATAATTATAAACTTTTTTTTTAACTTACTCTTACTACTTTACGTTTTTACTCTTATTACTTCTCCTTAAAATAAATTTCGAACGTTTTAAGATATTTGATTTCTGTAAAATGCATCTGAAAGCTGAGAAAGTAAGCTACAATTTACATGTTGACATGTTTTTTTTAGTCGAAAAATATCAATATTAGGATCATTTTGAAGAAATTTTACTTTTGCAGTTGTTTTGTCCATAGAAATGAACTAAAATGAAATCTACTTCCATTTCGGATGCCGAATGGTCTTTTTATTGTTAAACTCTAAACTTTGTATTAAAAATAATTTACAATTTTTGGTGTCATTAGAAAATACGGTCAATATATGTTAATTTTTTATAAAATATTCGGTATTAAATTTTGTTCAGGCAAAAATAAATATCAAATGACTGTACATTAAAAAACATGATTGTAATTGATGTTTTCATTAAATTTTGTGCTAAATAACTGTTTCTTACTAAAATTGAATCCTGCAGTAAAACTTGTAATTTTCAGTATGATTTATCTGTAATATAATACTATTGAAGATATCTACTAAAGATAAATTAATGACTCAATTTAATGTTGAATTTATAACTGAACATTACAAAAAATTGTGACAGGTAAACAGTTGATTTATGTTTTATGGCTTTAAAGTTAAAGGTAAGCAAAACAATGATGTTAAATTATTGTATGCGTAAAAAATACATGTTGCTAGATGTGAAGACAACATAAGCATATTATGTCGAAACTTCATCAGTCATCATGAATAACAAATACAAGACTTTTTAACCTGGCTAAAAACACCTCAACCGCATCGCCATTTAATTGGGCCTCGCAGCTGAAAGCTTTCCTGATAGAATGTGACGCCTCCGAACTTGTTGACTCTGTAGACCCTCTTTTATGGGAATCTAAAACCGAATCTATTCTCAGCAGATACCGAAACATACTCTATCACGCTGACTTAAATGCAGCAAAAGACTCCAGGTCGCTTGAATTCTCTCTGCACTTGCCAGACCCACATACTCCAGCCAGATACCTTTTGCTGAGGTTCCCACTCAGAAACAAACGCTTGATAGCACAACTGAGATTGGCAAACAAACACAATAGCTACCTGAATGCGAACAACCTTATGATAAAATTTACTCCGAGCTCTACTTGTCAACTTAGCAACCAAAAAGAACCTGACTCTATTGAGCACTTTATGACAGCATGTCCTTACTTTTCAAGCCTCAGGAATTTTTATCTGCCGAACTTACTACAGTGCAAGGAGCAAATTTCAGCTGTACTCTCCTCATCGGACCAAAAAACCTTATATAAGATTGTAAATTTTACCAACAAGTCTATGTACCTTAGAGATTGGGCCCTACAACTCTAATTTGTTGTCTTTACCCAACTTTAATCTCTTTTCATGTTTTTTTTACTGTTCCCATGACATTATTCTTATTATTTTATAACATTGCCCACAAATGAAGATATGTTTATTTAATATTTTTATATGCAAATTTATTCATATTACCCTCTTGCTAAAAACATGTACATAATTGTTTAATGCAATAAATTAATAATAAAAAAAATAATAAATACAAGATTTTAATGTCAGATCCGATTTTAAGATTAAATAAATATTTAAGTGGTTCTTGAATGATAACCAACAATTACAACCAACTTTTTTTCTTCTAAAGTAAAAACATTTTTCAATCTTTTTGTGTAATCATTTTAAAATTCAAAGGATAATTTTGAGCTAAATTACAGCTACAATAAGTTAAAAATAATACGAACTTAAAAAAAAAAAAAAAAAACATAAAACTAAAAACTAAAAGATCGAATAAATTAATAGCAATGTAAAAAGATTTTTTAAAGAATTAGATATTAAGATTTTTGAAGTATAAAAAGTTAAATTTAACTTTTTATCTCGCAAACTTAATCATTCTATTTTAAACATTCAGTTAACAAACATAAGGTGACTTTAAAAAATTCTTATTGATTAATATAGAGGTAATAGAAATTTAAAAAATTTTTACACGTTAGTTTTCTGAAAAAATCTAGAATTCCAGAGTGAAAAAAATTCAAATTCAATTAAAATACGAACAATAAATACTTCTCCGACCAGAATTTTAAATTATTCAAACAAGCATACCATTGTAAATACGTGTACTCTAACACCTGACAAGTATAATTACATGCGTAGAATAAAAGTACAATACACGATATAAATAGTTTTTTTTTGTTGGTAGGAATCACGGTTCGATTCCCTGCCAAGAAATATTTTATTCGTCTAAAATGGTAGACGTGCTAGGTACACATAAACTATAGAAGAGATGGTGAGCTGATGTAGGTATGTTATCAGTTATCAATATTTTAAGTCGGGTTTTCCCGTTAAATCTTCTATGAATAATTAAGTATTTATCGGAATCTAACTTGTAATATTTTTTATTTATTAAATTTTTTTTTATAACTAATTAAAATTTATCGACGAACCGGTTCTTTAAATTGCTTTTAGCTGACATTTAAATAATTTTTATTATTATAAGATCAATTTTAATTTTCATTGATTAGATACAATTTAAATCTTTGTGTAAAAAATTTGATGTAAATTACAAAGTTGTCAATCAGTTCAAAATTAATTATTTTAGATTAAAAAATTATCAATTATGATTGATACATAATTGTTGTTATTTCATAATCAAAGCCTTGATAATCATTCCATAATAAATTAAGATTGTGAAAGAGAATTTTCAAAGATCAACGATCGCTCTATGAAAAAAACAAAATCATTTAATTGGATAGATGATTCAGACCAAGAATTTTGGGTCAAAATTGACCCCAATTTCATGTATAAAAGACCTATAGACATTTTTATGTTATTTCAACATAACTTGGTTTTATATTACAGGTTATACTAATTATAATCACATTTTCTTCTCGTCTCTCAGCACTTTAAACTATCTTCAAAAGTTATTAAATTATTTTTATTGATGTCAATAATAATCAATTTATTTTTGAATGAGAAAAATTGCGGGCTTTTAAATATTTGGTTAAAGAAATTTCCCATCAAAATATTTTTTAAATAAAATTAGTTACTGTGATTTTATAATTTACAATTTTTAGCAAGTTCTAAATGCTGACTTGAATTTTTTATAAAAATCTGAAAAATCATTTAAGAATTTTTAAAAAGAAAAAATAAACGCACCATGTTGTATAGAAAATTGAAATGAAAATGATATTCAAGAATAAAGAATTTTAAATTTAAATAAAAAATTAATATTAATCTACTGTATATAATTACACTTACGTGGCAGGTTGTGGACTGTCACTATTGATGAAATCCTCGAGTTGAGAAAAATCGAGCGCCTCATTATCGATTCCTCCTACAAAGTCGCCCCGTCCTAGAAAATAAACCCAATGAAAAAATTACATGTTATAATTAAAAGCAATCATTGAAAGTATATTTTAATATTCAATTTATAATTTCTTATATAATAAAAAATTTTTTAAAGAAAATTCTCTTCAAGAAAATAAAGAAGAATTAAAAGTAATGTGTTCGATCGTTAACTCGATGTAAGATAAAGATTCCACATTTTATGCAAGGATAAATCGACTTGTCCTCGAGTGTAAAGAGAATGTAACTAGTGAATTATAACTAACACATGATTGAAGATGCAATCACGTGTATTTGAAAAATAAATAAATAAATAATAAGATAGCAGGTCGGGTGAGTAGGATATGCATTGATACATTGATATAAGATTCAATAAATTAATACTTTATTTTATAGATAAAAGATTAGTGAAAATTTAATTTATAGATTAATTATTTTTTTATTTTTTTAGTGTGAATAAGAGAAATTTGAGTGGAAGTGCATTTACTTGATAATTTAAATTTGATATTTGAGACACATTTGACAGACTGATAATATAATAATAAATGAAGTTAGAAATGGAAGAATGTGTATGTGGACTTTCGAAGTAGACCTGCGGAGTTTCCATTGCAAAGTTGAAACTCATCCAGGTCAAGCTGAGCCTCGACTTGTAGGTATTGAATAGGTGAATCCTATTGGATCGATTTACCTCGCCATTTATCGATTCATCGAGCACACTGGTGTAGAAACTAGAGAAGAAGAGGCTGAGAGAAGATGCTGCAGGCACATAGGTACATTACATGTTTCTTAATCATTTTTTATTTTTATTAATATTTTTATTTTATCCCCTGCCTCATTCCTCTTAGTCTGTGATCATGATACAAAATAATTCTTGCGTGGGAGAGATGTAACTTTACGGCGAGAGTGTATACAGAACAGCTGATTGTGATGCTTTTGGAATAAAAGTTTTCTTCTCTCTTTTTAGCATTAAAGGTCTTGTGAACGGTTTATATATACGAGAGAATTAGCAAGCTGAGTTCCATTGGCAGTCGACACATAACATAAGAGAATATTTAACACATACGGAACCTCACTCACGATTATTGCGTTGGATCCTCTTTCATTGTATATTATATTACTGTATTTATATTTACTATATTACACTTTAGATCTTACGATAACACACTTGTCATGTTTATAAATTCAAAAGGTAGTACGCAATATGCCAAATTACTTTTTTTTAACATTGTTTTGTTTTTAACTGTACACTGGAAAAGTCTTGGAGTTTTAACGACTTTAGATTTTGTTAAAATTTTTTATTACCGCTATTGCGAAATTTTATGTTGAATTAACAATATTTTATTAAATAGCTCGGTAATGGTCTATTGGTTTTTTAATTTTAGTTCCTGTTGTCAGTTAAAAGAATAATTAAATTTAAATATTGGTCAATTTAAAATTTATACACTAAAAAAATATAATTTTATTTAAGGAAAATAATTCACTTTTTGCAAGAAGTTGAAGCAAAATTTACGTTTTTTAAACTTAAAATTTTATTTTTTTGGCTTTTGATAATATCATAAAAAAATAAGATACTTTCAACGTAGATCTATTTTTAGATAGATCTTATCTATTTTTTTAACTGTTCATTATACGAAAGAATTAATAATAAAGTTAGCAATTTTTTGAATTACTTCAGAAGATTCTTAATTCTAAGACAAAATTGAGAAGAAATGATGGAATATTTTCAAAATATAATATTTAAGTTCTCGTCCATATTTTAAACTATTTAAATGATTAGATCTTGGGAATTTGGACAATAAATGAAGATGTTAAATTATAGGAGTTGCTATTTATTAGAGCAATTCCTATAATTTAACATCTTCATTTATTGTCCAAATTCCCAAAATCTAATCATTTAAATATTTTCAAAATATACTAAAAAAAAAATAATCTGAGTTTTTTCATATTTCATTTTCGAGATATGATAATTTAAAAATATTTTTTTTTCTAATTTCAACACGTTGTTTTAATGATTAATAATCACCATACGACAAGGCAGAAACACCAAGCTATTTTGATTAATGTAGAGAATAAAGAGTAAAGAGTAGGAATTTTAATTTTTAAACCCATAATATGTAATCAAAAATATTTGACATTATATTCAGTAATAATATTTCTCCAAAAATTTATTAAAAATATTCCGATGAAATATATGACTATAATAAAAATAAATTTAATCTTTGAATCAAGGAAAGTATGAAAAACAAATTTCTTCTTCTTTCAGTGCAATAATATTATTTTTACTGTTAGTTAAGCCGATAAATTATTTTAAGATAAATTTTTATTTTGCTATTTTTTTTTTTTTGTAAGTAAAAAAAATAATCAGTTGGATTTTATTTGACAATTTTCTTCTTAATTAGAACATCGTCTATTATATAGTAAAAATGACTAAATATTGCTTTCTCCAAACTTCTTAGATTTTGTAAATTTTAAACAATAATCTGCAGAAAATTAAGAGATGCACTTCTTAGAATATCAATAAAGACAAAATTAAATTTTATTTTATTATTCACACGAGTGAAAGTTTTACAGAATGACAATAAAAAATTATTAGAAATTCTTATGAAAATGATTCACGCCTCAAGTAATGGATTCAATTTTAAACAAGAGTAAATATTAAAACAAAAAAAAATATAAATAAGTAAATAGAAAATTTTTTACAAAGAATCAATACAAAAAGTATTCTAAAGACTAAAGAATTTTATTGTTAGTTTGCGCTCATTTTAAACTTCTTATATAGTAATTGAATAATTTCAACGGGAACAATAATAATACAGTTAATGATACAGAAAAAAAAATAAAAAACAAATTTAAACCTTTTGTATTATTAATTACATTAATGAACGTTAAATTGATATATGTATTAATTTCACAGTCAACAATAGTAAGTTAAATAAAATAGAGATAATGGCAATAAGAGTGACAAAAAAGCCAGAAGCGCACCTTGAACCCCTCTTTAAGTGTTTAATCGAGTAATTCAAGTGTCACAACTCGTTTCTTCCGGTCAGATGCTTCAAAGCTGTGTCTGACATCGTACGCTATAAGAATATCATGTCTCAAATTATATCATATCATGTATATTCTTTACTTTTATTTTACTTATTATTTACAGTATTTTTTTTTTCAATAAGAATGTCTAATAAATACAAACAATGATCATGTTCAAATTGATTATCGGCGGAGCTTAGTTTAATACCATGTAATTTAAAAATGTAATATTTACTTCAAAAATTGTAAAATTTTTCTTTAGTTTAAAAAAAATTAACATAACACGGATTAAAGTATTTAATTCTCTGTAATTTAGTAAACTTAAATTGTCAATAATAAAAAATTAAACAAATAATTTTTCTGATTATTAAACTCAGAAAAAATGTTACAGTTTGAAGTAAAATTTTTAAATCAAAAAAAATTTTCATTAAAATTTTTTGTAAAACTTTCTTCACATCTGATAAAAAGGATTTTTTTAAAATTAATAATTTAATAAGCTTTATTAATTATTAATAAATAATTTTTTAACACGAAATGATTCAATAAGTATTTATTAACAGTTAATATATCATTGATTAAATGTCATTTTTTAACAGAGAAGAAATATATTAATATTAATAGTTAATAAATAATTTATTAAACATAATTTGATAAATATGTATCTGTTAATGTATATTTATTTAGACCCTTGAATAAAAGGTTAGTATAAAAATTCTACTTGGACATTTTTTAAAACCCCATGATTTTAATAGATAATCAAATTCTATCAGATCGAGTAGATTAATAGTTTTTTTTTTTTTATAAAAATAGAGGATATAAATTAAATGATAAAACAATGGTTGCAATAAATTACAAAATTTTTCTTTGCGGTGAAAATTATCAGTGTACGGTATCTTCATTGTAAAAGGTTATGGCATTATTTGTTTATGAACTTTATTTTAAAGTAAGAGAAATTTTTCTTCAACCAAAACTTTACTTCAGCCAAGAGAATTTTTTTTTTTTCATAATTATTTTCTTGAGCCATTAATTTTAAGTAAGGATTTAAAGTTACTAATTTAAAGGGAAATAATTGTAGGAAAACTGGTACGAACGAAAAAAATGAATGTAAACAGGTAGCTAGTTAAATTAAATTCTCTATCTAGTTCTATGACATTTTTGCTTTAATTATTCCACGGTAATTGCCATTTGAGAAAGAAAATAAATTTCATCATTAATTTCGAGTCAATTAATTCTTTACTCATTTTTTTAACTTTGAAATTGTTCGCTAAAAAAATATTCATATTTTATTTTTAACATTTTTAAATATTTTTCCTGGTCAAATATTTTATATCTTATATAATATAAATAAAATAGTTAATCAATTAATACAAAAAAAATTGCTCATTAAATTGATTGTTTTCATTATACAACAAGATTAATAATAAGCACACGCACCTGTATGAATTTAAAGTGAGACTTGAAAGATTTTAGAGAGTGAGTTGTGTACAATCAGTTCAATACTTTAAACACTATTTTATACAACAGTATATTATATGTGTATGATAGTAAATAAGCGCATCATTGTACGCAAAATGGTAATTAATCTTATGTCACTTGAACCCTCTGATATGTTTTAAATTTACAAATATTGTTATTATTATTTTGTGATAAATGGCAATGATGTAGGATATGAAATAAACTCTAGAAGCGGGGGTTGGAAGGTCGGACAACGGGGTGGTTTGTTTAATCGATGACTACAATTTGCTTACTCGTGGTTCTTCTTTTCCTTTCGGGTCTTACTCTTATTTTCTGGTTTGGCATTCATTTTTAAAAATAATTTCAACCTTTTTTTGGCAAAAATATTTTAATTAAAAAAATTTATCAATTAATGACTACTAATTTTTTGTTCCAACTGTAAAAAGTTCAAGCACTGCGCAATTGTTATTTCTATAAAAAAAAATCTATTCGTCGTTTATATATGTAGTATATATGTATTTAATGAGACATACACAAAGTTTCGCAAGCAAACCAAATTTGGCACCAAGTTTGACGACTTGCGGCTCTTCAGCGCCTTTTTCAGGCTTTCGTGACTTGATACTTAGCACTTAAATTACTCGTACAACTATTTATATGGCAAAGACTAAAAAAACATCAAGACTAACTAAATATTGTATTTTTTATAAATTAAAAAATAAAGTAAGTTATAAAAATAACTTGCAATGACATTCTTATGATTTTTCTACTCTTGCTTTTCTTTGAAGATCAAGAAGATTCTATCGTGTCATTAATATGGTATGGGTATTCATGGTTATTTCATAATCAGGTTGATGATACATTTTTCTGTGAAAAGAAAATTCTACGTAAAAAATGAAATAGAAAAGTCAAATCATTATAATGAAAATACAGTAGAAGTAGCATGGAGGTTAAAATGATGTTAAAATATAATATATTCGTCAAGCTTATCACAAAACTCAACTTAACATCTTTAACCTTCCTACTATTATTCTTATACAATTTAAGACTAGATTCTTCGAAGAAATTAAAGTTAGCAGTCATTTCACAATTTTTTAATTTTTAAAATTTTTAAAATTTTTTAAATTTCTACATGTCAATTTTTTTTCTAATTTTTTTTTTGCACTAATTTATTTCTTTAAAAAATTCTAAAATTTATTAAATATCTGTTTAATTTTCATAATTTTTCGACTGAAAATAAGTAACAGTAAAAATTTCAAAAATTCTAAATAATTTTCTTTATTTTATTGTCATAATTTAAAATATTTTTTACATA